GGAGGTATCGTCGCATCTTGCGGCAGAGTGAGGCTCTCGGGGCGCACGCCGCTCTCACGGTGTTGTACCAGTGATGGTGGATCAGTTGCCAAGTGAGGCTGCCCTCCAGCAGTCCAGCCGCGTACGCCTGCACGTCGTCCGGGTAGTCTGGTGACGTTTCGATCTCCACTGTTGACCAGCTGCTCGTGGGTAAATAACATTGCGTGAGCATCGGGCTATACTTGAGGGTATGAAAAATGTTATTTTGGAAGAAAATCAACATGGGTTTTCCAGCCTTGCGAAGAACAACTCCGCAGGTGACGTCTGCCAGTGAATGGCTGACTTGGTTTAATAGTGACCTTCTTTAGTTAACATAATCTATTAGTCGACAAATAACATTTTCGGAGATGGTAGTAAAAATCTATTTGTTGACAAGGTAGTTTAAATTGAAGTGGCCCTTAAGAAAATTGATTAGATTAATAGTAAAGTAGGGAACATAAATACTTTTAATAGCCCTGAAAAAAGCAAGTAGTGAAATTTCCAGTTACTTTTTTATAATTATCCTTGATTATGGAGAGCCAACTGCGGGTAGCTTAACTCTTATCCTTAATGTCTCTGTGTGCGGAGACCATACAGGAGGGAGGTACGCCACTGACCAAAGAATATTTCGTCTTCAGGTTGTTCCCCGGATAACCAACCGCTCATCGTTAGTCGGAAAGAGAGGCCTGAAGAATACCTTCTCTGTAACTGTTACTCGCAATGTCATATGTTCGAAGAGAAAAAAATTTTTTACATGCGTTTCAGTGAAGGTGGAACCTTTTTTTCATGATTAACACATTCAAATTAAATCTATAAATATTATATATTAAGATACAATTTTAACATGTAAATTGCCCCTCAGGATAGAAATTTTTTTGAAATTTCGATATGTTGTTTGAGATAATAGTATCAAATCACAGCTAAATTTATAAAGGGTTTAACCACACCGTTTGCAAGATATATTGACCTGAAAAAACAATATTTCAACATGTAGGCTTATGGAGAAATCACTTAAAGTTCACATAAAAAAAAAAACGGCTAAATGAACTTGCTTTTTTTTTTAAATGAAAGAATATTGTCAAAATAATATTTTGTTAAAGTTTGAGGGAGCCCTACCACAAATTTCTATTAAAAAACAGCAAAAAATGTGCTCGCAAGAGACGACTTGGCAACGCTGCTTTTGGTGAGCGCTTAGAAATGTAATAAATAAAAAAAACTCCTTTTCTTATCGAAAATTTAATTATAAAAAATTCAACCGAATACATAAGTACACTGTCATCAGTAGACGACGACAACAGTAGACGACGTGCCAGCAGCCAAAAAAATTCACAACGTTGCCAGACGCTCTCCCCCGCCCCCTTGCCGCTCTGATATTACCCCCCGCTAACACTGCCGAACCTTCTTTACTGTAAATAAAATAGCATTAAATATCCCCCTCCTCTTGGAGTTGCGCACTGCATCGAACTGAACAACACTAAACTCTAAGTATACTAGAATTTCTTATATAGTCGTCAGTTATTCTACGATTTTATCAAAGTGGCACACAAGTGAAACGTTGATCACTTAAATCTTAGCTCGAATTATTAAATAGTCATTAAAAAAATTTTCATCAAAAATGAACAACGAAAATGATGACGATGAGTATGTACCGCCTGTTCCATGGTATGTCCAGGCGGAGGAAGTGTTTAAACAATATCAGTTCATGGTTGAACAACAAAAAATATTAGCCTCGACTACAACTCATTCCGGTATTCCTCGCAAAATCTCTCAAGAGTCGAGATCCTTGATCATAAGGCAAGACAATAAACCTGCTCCATCAGACAACAAATTGAGTACGGTGAGGCTATCGAGAATAGAGTTGTAACATAATTCATCTTGTGTGGAACGTGTTGGAATTTATAGGGATATCATTTTCAGGGTACATTCGTAAGGGGCATTGAATGCGGTACATTTGCCCTTCATGAAATAAGTGCTAGCGTAAGTATTTGGTTTCTTCACGCTAACAATAAATTTTGAGTTTTTATTGTTCCGAATCTTAAGAACAATAACTTGTACGTTTTATTGTCCATTTGTATTTAATATGATGTCACCGACCATTTTTTAATACCACGTCATAATTTTTAAAAGGTTTTCTTTGTAAGAAAGTGGTACGTTAATTAGTTTTACTTGTTTTATCTACAGGTCATTAGTAGATCAATCATAGTCAAGGCGAAACACACGGGAATGCAGGACAAGGATGACAATAGTCATTTTGATTTGTACAAAACATTCGACGTTTTGGAAGAGTTCGACATCGAAAAAGCCATGGTTACATTGCACTCTGATGGTGTTTTAAAGATTGAAGTTCCTAAGATAACAGCAAACGAATAAATAGCATGAAGCCAACATCTTGAATTTTATCAACTAATTAAAAAAAGGACCAAAAAAACAAAAAGAATCGATAAACAGCATGAAAAAATAAATACATTTTGTCAACGTGTAGATGAATTATTAAAACGGTTTTAAATGTCTAAAGGCTATTGATATAATTTTAATGTATAACAATAAATATCTGTAAGTATTCTATTAGTGTTGAAGGTGCAAGATCCTACATACGTCCCTCTCCATCTGGCATAAACGGTTTAGCCATTACTCTCATGTTGTATGGCACATACCTTCTTACCGTACCGAAATAGTCACCATATTTACGCGCCACGAAAGAGATTCGCACGTTTGTCTATACAAGTGAATACGCCGCCATTGAAGCCACTCCACTCTGTTGTAAAACACGTTGTAACGTTTATAAAATGACGATTGTAGTTCCTTTTTAAACATATATACAAACAAATCAACGTTATTCACAGGATGTAATTAAAAAGAGCGTAGTATAAGTATAATTCACCTTTGAGTAGCTATATCTCATACCCCGTAGTAATACAAAGATTCAAGTACACAAGTACATCTAAGTATTTCATAAGTTACACAGGACCACAAAAAAAAATAAGTAGAAGGGTCCCTTTCAGCAACAATGCATTTTTTATATATTTTGAGGCGCTGACTTCATTCCCATTGTCTAAATTGCTCCATAACATCACAATTTTTTACACTTGTTAACTTGGGGACTACTTTAATTACTAAAAAAAAGCATTGCCGCTTATGGACACGTTAGTTTTTTTTTTCGTTAATAAAAAATAATTGTAATGCGATAGAGCAATTTAGACAATGGGAATGAAGTCAGCGCCTCAAAATGCATAAGAAATGCTTTGTTGCTGAAAAGGACCCTTCCACGTATTTTTTTTTGTGGTCCTGTGTTATTAGATTAACACTCACATCTTTAAAAAATTTCTAAAGTTCATTATTACAATTTTGTAAGATAATAAATTAACTAAGTACCTATTGGCTCTTTGCAGATGCCGACGAAAGTGTATTATATTTTTATACTGATACGTAATTTAATGAACGATATTTTATTGAATTTTGGTTTTGTCAATTGCCTAATGGTGAGAAAACAAAACGTATTTATTAAGCCTATAAAGTATTTTATGAAACCTCTAATGAGAACAAATCGGTATTATAATTATACTGTGAGTTGCGCTAAAATTTGCATATTTAAGTAAACAGTACGTAAATAGTAGCTGTATTCGTAATTACTTTTTACTCGCAGGAAATCTTTTGTTGAATAAAATATTGATATTACAATATAATACATACAATTTTATTACTTTATACAATGTTGAGTATGAAAATATATTTTAATCTGTTGGTTTACTTGTTCGTAATAGAAGCATGTCTGGAACACATCCTTTTTTCGACTCATCACAATTACATGTAAAGATTTTTGAATAACTTTAATTTTATGATAATGATATATTATACGTTAACAAACGTTAAATCCTGTAAATCGGAAATAAAGCAATGGATTTTTTCTCATCCGATGGACATGTAGAAAACAAGCTAAAGGTTTTCTATCAATAGTAGAAAAGCACGCAAACTGCTGTTGGTAACATTCAACGAATCGTGTGAAAAATTGTCACTTTTTGACAAGTTTCTTAGAAAACCATAAAATCTCTTCAAGTCTCTCTGTCAATAATAATTTAATTAGATAGTAATAACTCAACTCAGTATGAAAACATAACCCTTATAATACACGTATATATTCATCGTTTTCAAAATACTTTAATTACTCTTTTGGTGGGTTAAAGAAATTTTTTTACAAAAAATTAACGTTTTATGATGTCTTTTAAGAGTCAAAAATGTGTAAAAGTTGCGATTAGAGGGAAAAAAGGCGCACTTGGTGTTGGTCGCGCATACTTGTCAGGGCAGGAGGAAGGGAAAAAACAAAAAAGTGCGTGAGCTCAAGTGGAGTGGCTGTAACATTTTGAAGGTGCATATGAACGTTTTAGTTAGAAGATTTTTTCGTGATGATCGATGAGCGAGACGTGGAGACGACGGTGATGACGTGGACGACTCTGATTCTCTTCTTTCATTGTTNCAGCTCGTAGTAAAAAAAAAAGCTTTTAGTCCGGTAAATTTGTTTGAATGGAGAAACTATTGATGTTGTATATGTATATGAAAGAGGATTCAGCTAAAAATATGTTTTTATTTTTAAATATTTGCTTGCCCATTTTATCGGCTATGCCCACCTCCGCCCCACGTTCCCCTATTGTTGTTGTTTTTTTTTTTTCCTTTCATTTAATAGTACACTTAAGAAAAAGAATATACATATACTTGAAATTTGAAACTTTGGATATTTCGGGATATTTAATAAACTTTTTTTTTCAATGCAACAAAACACAAAATCTCACTACTTTTATGATTATTTATCACATCGTCCATACATGTATACAACGTATCTGTTTGCTTACATGTTGCCTTATTAGGAGACATTGAACCGGGCCGGTTCGCTACCCTCGAGCGATGAGTTTAATGGCCCTTCCCCCCACCCTTTAAATCTCCCTCCTCATCAGCATAACAATTACACCCTTCGGGNTTTTCACACGATTAGACTAACCTTTTCGGTTTTCTAGCATTTTCGAACGGCGTCGCGTTAATATCCAACGTCTCATCGTGTAGTGTTTTTATTAATTAGGTTCAATTTCATTATCTGTGTCAAAATTGCGGGGCCTTTGAACTTAGTACAAATTCTACGGGAATTATTTAATTTTTTTTTTTATTGTTGATTGTAAATTAGTAAGATAGATTTTACAACATCTTACTAACAGTTTTTCTTATTAGCCTTTGAGTTTTGGGTTTTATTATTTTTAGTGAGACCTTTTGATTTTTTAATTTTGTCATATAATTCGGGTTTTTAAATTTTTCTACGGGTGTTTCCATACAGGAGTATTACGAGTTTCGTTCATTTACCATTATATTGGGCTTATAGTGCATTATTGATCATCGGTTCAACGAAAATGTCGCGAGCCAAGGTGCTCATGCAGAAGCGCTCCACGCTAAAGAGACAACTCACGGCGCTAGAGACGTTGACGGCAGAGGAATCGTTTGATACAGTGAAGGCTAGACTGAGATTCGATCGCGTGAAGGAGTTATTTAACACGTACGAGGAGCTGAATGACGAGCTCGAGGTAATCGACCCCAATGATGCGCACGCGACCGAGATGACGAACATCACTGACCGGTATTACACGGTAGCAGCGAAACTTAAGCCGATATTTGCGGTAGCTGATGCTCAGTCAGACCCGAGTCCCAGCGGCGATCCCTTAGCAACGTCATCCTTTATCGAGAAGCAAAAGCTTCTGAAGCTACCGGTCGCCGAGCTTCCAAAATTCAATGGGCAGTTCGATAGGTGGATAACGTTTAAAAACGCAATCGGAACGATGGTTAACGCACGCACGGACATCGACGACCTCGTTAAATTCTTTTACTTGAAGGACGCGTTACGGGGAGAAGTGCTCAACAAAATCTCGATTTTCGACGCGACTGCAACCAGTTACAAAAGCGCGTGGCAGTTACTCATCGATGCGTACGATCGAAAAAGAATTCTGGTGGCAAAACATTTAGATGCGCTTATAGATATTAAACCGTTAGAGGCTGCAAATGCACAAGGGCTGTCGAAATTGGTGGACGACACTCGCCAGCATCTAAATGTTTTGTCTTCTTTAGGCGTAGTTTTGGACGATACAATCATAGTGCGATTGCTAGAGCGGGCTTTACCGATTAGTATTCGTCAGAAATGGGAAGAGTCATTGGATTTGGACGCGCTCCCAAAACTCACGCAATTTTATAAATTTGTCAATGCGACGACGTTTCGACTTTCGACGATGGAAACGGAGATTTCGCGTGTGAAAGGAGAAAGAGGTGGTAACAAGCGTCAGGGAGAGCGAGAATCGGAGACTGTGAAAAAAGGCAAATTTAATTCGTCTGCGCGCGCGTTAGTTACTAATACAGTGGCGGTAACGTGTGCACGGTGCGGCGAGGCCCATCGTATTTATTCGTGCTCGGAGTACAGCGGGTTGAGTGTAGAAGATCGATGGAAATTCGTTCAATTGAAGGGCCTGTGTAAGAATTGTCTAGGTCATCATTCGGGGGCGTGTAAATCGGGTACGTGTAGGAAGTGCAATGACCAACACCATACTTCTTTACATCGCGAGAAAAAGGTCGAAAAGTCCAGCGTTTGACTGGGAGCAAGCGCGCTAGAGACGAGTACCCGAGCGTCACAGCCGCAATTAATGATGAGCGCAATGATTAGAGTCAAAAACGCTCGGGGCAACTTTGTCGAGGCGCGCGCGCTCTTGGATACATGTGCGACAGCTCATTTCGTAACGGAAAAATTTTCTCATGAATTAAATTTGCCGTTGAACGCATGCTCAATCCCCGTAGGCGCGATTGATTCTTTAAATACCAATACAAAGTACAGCGTAGAGATCAATTTTAGGTCACACACTACCGATTTTTCCAAAACGTTAACTTTTTTGACGATTCCACGAATTGCCGATTTTGTACCGGACGAACCATTTCCGCGTGCGTCAATTTCTATACCGCCAAATGTAAAACTTGCTGATCCGCGATTTCACGTTCCGCGTCCGGTAGATATGCTGATTGGTTCAGGGGCTACATTGTCATTTTTATCGGTCGGTCAGATAAATCTTTCGCGTAATCATGGAGATTTAATTTTACAAAAAACACAATTAGGTTGGGTGATTGCGGGCGGTATTTCAAACGACTTCAAACAATCGGCAGTGACATGTAATTTAAGCGCGTTAACTGAACAGCTAACGAAATTTTGGGAAGTCGAAGAAGTAAAAAACGTAGTGAGCGTATCAAATCAGGAATCTCTATGCGAAAGGCATTACTTAAAAAATACGACACGCGATCAAACTGGGCGGTATATTGTGCGTCTTCCATTCAATGATAAACTACCAGATTTAGGAAAC